TACCATTATTTTTATTTTGATCAGTCATCTGACCTGCAACTCACCCTTATGCGATCATGAACTTTTTCCTTAAGTTTGATGCTGTCCTTAACTTCTTTAACTAACCCACGGTTGGTGGGTCCTCCCCCTGAACTATTTTCTTTCCATAAGAATGTGCTTATTCTGAAGTATGAATTCAAATGTCTGCCTTTTTTCTCTTAGTCTATCTCCCAGCCTAATATCTCAGTTCATTTCAGCTAGTTCAGCTTTCATGCCCATATAGTTGCCCTTTTTAAAGTTTAACATATTATTCTTAGATCAACTGTTCTCCTTTAAATTGTAAAATTCAATCGTATTATGATTGCTACTTCCTAGAGGTGAAGACTCAGGAAGCAGCAATCATAATACGATTAATTAATTATTAATTAACCCTGGCATATTACACAACACCCAAGTCTAGTATAAGTTGCACTCTGGTCGGTTCCTAAATGTGCTGTGAGTTCCTTTTTCAAGCCTCTATTACCAATCTGATTTTTCAGTTTATAATGTAGATGAAAATTGCATAAATATTGCTGTCACTCTATCATAAGCACTAAATATTTCTTCTTCTTTAATTCATCCTACGTTGTGATTATTGTTTGGGACCCTATAGGTCATGCTCGAGACTGCTTTCCCCTACTCAACTCCACCAAAATAGATTCTACATCCTGAACTCCTGATCCAAGATAATCGCTAACTATCACACTAATACCATCTTCGATTAGGAGTTGCTATCCTTCTACCTTTATCTAGCTTCCTATTCATAGAATCATACAGTGCAGAAGGAGCCTTTTGGCCAATCAGGTCTGTTCTGCCAACAATACACTAAATTTGCACTAGTGCCACTTTCCAACACTTGGCCTATACCCTTGAATGTTACATTTCAAGTGTTCATCCAAGTTTGAGGTTCCCTACTCGACTATCCTCCCTGACAGTGCATTCTAGACCCATACCACTGAATGGCTGAAATACTTTTCCTCATTCCCCCTAAACCATTTGCCTTTCACCTTAAGAGTGTGCCCCCTTGTTATTGAGCCTTCATCTAAGGGGACTAACTGCTTTATATTCGCCCTGTCCATGCCCACTATAATCTTATACGCCTCTATCACCGTAAGGCCATAAAAAACAGTAATTGCATTAGGCCTTTTGGCCCCTTGAGCTTGCTCCACCAGACAGAAGGATAACGGCTCAACTGACATTTCTCATATCCACTTTCCTGCATTTTCCTGAGTTATGTGCCCCATTCTGATAGCCTTTGCTCATAAGACAATCCTTCCAAACCAGGGATCATCCTAGTGAACCTTCTCTGAACTGCCACCAATGAAATTATATCTTTCCTTAAATAAGGGAACCCAAACTGCTCACAGTATTCCAGATGTGATCTCACCAGCACCTTGTACAGTTGCAGTACGACTTCCCCACTCTTATACTCCAATGGTCCTCCCGCTCAGGCTTTTCTGCTCAAAAGAAAACAACCCAAACTAGTCCAGCCTCCCTTCAAAGCTAAGATCTCCATCCTAGACAACATCCTGCATTCTTTTCAGTGCAATCATATGTTTTCTATACTGCAGTGACCAGATCTGCACACTCTACTCCAACTGTGGCCTGAACAGTCCAGTACAGCTCCAACATAACCTCCCTGCTTTTGTAGTCTATGCCTTGACTAATAAAGGCAAGTGTCCTGTGTTTCTTCTTAACCATCCTATTAACTTGCCCTGCTGCCTTCAGGGATCTGTGGGCAAGAATGCCAAGATTGCTCTGTCCCTCTAAACTTGCTGGTGTACTGCCATTCATTGAGTACCCCCTTGTCATCTTACCTCGTCCCAAATGCATCACCTCACACTTAACCAGGGTTAAATTCCATCTGCCACTGATCTGCCCATTTGACCAATCCTGTTTACAACCTCTATAACCTAGACCTTCTTCCTCACTGTCAATCATACAGCTAATCTTCATATCATCCTTATGTTTACTAACCATCCCACTGCTCCCCTCAAATATTTTTGTCTACATCATTTATGCATATCACAAACAATAAGGGACCAGCACTGATCCCTGTGCTACATCTCCAATCTCACAAAGAGCTTTCTACCACCACCTTCTATATCTTGTCCTAAGCAAATTTTGGATCCAACTTATCAAGTTACCATGTGACCATGAGACATAGAACTGTACAGCACAGGAACGGTCCCTTTGTCTCATGATGTTGTCCTAGCCATGATGCCAAATTAAACTAATCCCTTCTGCCTACCCTTAGTACATATCCCTCCATTCCTTGCTTATTCATGTGTTTATCTAATAGTCTCTTAAACACCCCTATCATATCTGCCTCCTCCACCACCCCTGGCAGGGCATTCCACACTACAACCACACTTTTCTAAAAAAAAAAAAAAAATTTGTCCATCACATCTTTGAACTTTCCCCCTCTCACCTTAAATGTATGCCCCCTAATATTAGATATTTCAACTCTGGGAAAATGATTCATGCTGTCAACCCTAACGATGCATCTCATAATTTTATAGACTTCTACCAAGTCTCCCCTCAGCCTTTGCTGCTCCAGAGAAAACAACCTGAGTTTTTCTAGCTTCTCTTTATAATTCATGCCCTCTAATCCAGGCAGCATTCTGGTAAACCTCTTCTGCACCCTCTGCAAAGCCTCCACATCCTTCCTGTAATGTGGCGACCAGAATTGAACGCAGTACTCCAAGTGTGGCCTCACCTTCTTAGACCACCTTTTGCTTTCACCTTCTTTATCAGTCTTTCATGTTGGACCTTGTTGAAGGCCTTGCTGCAACTTATTCTTCTTGCACATCATAAACGCTCCGATATTCAGAACTGAATCGTTATCTTCCTGCAGCTATGTCTCCGTGTGTCTATCAGATCACGTTTATTTACTTCAATCTGTGTGATCAATTTATTGACTTTGTTATGAATGTTGCATGCATTCAGATTTAGAGCTTTTAGTTTTGATTTTTATTTTTAAGCTTCTTTTCTTGACTGCTGGTATATCCTTAATTTTATTTCTCTGTCTTTTCCTGCCATTTTCTGACTTTCTTTTTCCACATTAGTATTTTGCTGCCCAGACTTGATTGACCCTAGTAAATACCCAAGCTTGATCCCTCATCCGCCCACTTTGTTTTTAGTTTAACGGAGGCTGTGCTGCACTTGTGCTGTTTAATCATTCAGTAGCATGTTTCCTTCTCATTGCATTTTTCCATACAACTGCTATATTAAATCAGGGTTTTTCCAGCATACTGCATTTCTTATTCCTCATTCATGTGGGGTTGCAGTGCAACAGTACCAATATAATGGAGAATTATTTTCACCAGGTTACTAAAATCAGTAGAAATCTTTATGAACTTTATTAAATATAAATAAGTTATTTTTTCCCTTCTACCTTTTCTTAATTTATCTAACTTTCTTTCACTCTCTAGCTAAAACCCCATTCACACATCACAATATGGCAGGATTGCAGTCTGTTGAAAGGTTGGCAATCTATTATTGTTTCTGTACTTTCTGGGGAAAAAAATTCCCCAAATGGCACAATGAATTTGTCCAGTGAATAAGTGAATGATCCAGGCTGAAGTGCCATAATTCAGTTTCCTCTGCTGCATTAACTGATTGCAGGCATTACAGTGAATGCTGATAGAATTCTATTTGTTGCTTTGTGCTCTCTGCTACAAACTAGATCTTTTCAGGCTAATGATCCACACAAATTGGTTGAAGACTATCATCTGTGATGTTGGAGACCTCGGGAGGTTCAGATGAATCACCCTCGACACTTATTTGTTTCTAACCACTTATTGCACTTATTGAACTATCCCAGCTGGGTCAGTAATAGTGCTACTGAACCAGTCTTGGTGATGGACTTTGGAGTCCCACATTCACAGTACATTCTGTGCCCTGGCCGTCCTCAGTGTTTCCTCCAAATGTGCTTCAATGTAGATTCAAAATGGCGCTGACACTGGGTGACTCTTTGCGAGCTGTCCACAGCAGATCTTATTCTCACGCACCAATAGGTTCAAAGACAGCTTCTTCCCTGCTTCTCTACCTTTTGAATAATGTCGATCTTGTTTTGTACACTTCATGTGCAGCCTTAACCTCGTACACCTGCTCTGTCTAAGTACCCTATGATCTGTATGTCCTTGTTTTCAATGATCTGCCTGTACTGCTCGCAGAACGAAGCTTTTCACTGTATTTAGGTACATGTGACTATAATAAATCAAATCAAATCAACATGGAAGTGTACTGTTTCATCAGCCTGGGGTCAGGGGGGATAGCAGGAAATTTCCTGCCCTTGTTTGACCTGATGCCATGAGATTCCATGGGATATAGAATCAATGTTAAGGATTCTGAGGGCACCTCCTTCCTGGGTTATACCACTATACCACCAACTCTGGAGGCTTTGACCTGCTAGTGAAATAGAGCATACCCAGGGATGATAGTGTTTAGGATATTATCTGTAAGGTGTGATTCTGTGGTGATGACCATGTCAGGCCTTTGTTTGACTAGTCTATAAGACAGCTCTCTCACAAGCTCCTAGATGTTGGAAAGAATGGGTTTTCAAGGTCCAAAGGGCTGTTTTAACTATCATTTCCAGTGCTCAGGTCAATGCCACATGGTCCATCTGTTTCATTCTTCGGACTTTGTAATGATTTGATACAACTGAGTGACTTGCTAGGTCATTTCAGAGAGCAGTTAAGAGTTAACCACATTGCTGTGGGTCTGAATGTCACTCTGACTAGCTAAGGATGGCAGATTTCATTCACTAAAGGACATTAGTAAACCAGATGGTTTTTTATGACCATTATATAATTCTACTCTTTAAGTTGACCCCAATTCTCATGCATTTATACAGGCAGACCATCTTCTGCTAATTATGCAATAACTCAATAGGATTATATTTATTAAGTTCTTTTTTCTGAATTAACAGTTCTATAGTTACTTCACACACATTGTTCACATGGTCTCGCTCATTACAGATGTTCTGCTGAAAGATGGAACAGTTAATCGAAATGCATTGGGAAAGAGAGTTTTTGAAGATAACGTAAGTACATGTTGTGGAATTTTTCTAAGCTTATGTGATTATTTTCAACTGATGCTATTTATTACAACAGTCCCAGGAATATACTATTGAAATGTTGTCCAGGGTAGCATGGAAGTTGTTTTATATCTTTGCTAACATGATGGTTGTTTTGAGAGTGAATTTTTAAAACATTAACCTTAGTTTGTTTGTGCATTCTATATTTTATTACTATCATTGGTTGACACTGGTTCACTAATGTCGTTGTCTGTTCTGGCCTACAGACCCACAGTAATCTGATTGACTCTTAACTGCCCTCTGAGCATTTATGGATGGGCAATAAATGATGGCCCAGGCAGTGACATCCACATTCTGTGAATGGATTTTTTAAAAAATGCAAGACAGACTTCAAACTCTATCCAAAATCTGGATCATCTTTCTGGAAACCAGGAAACCAGAATCATCTTCCTTCCTCAAGATAAAATACTTCCAAGTTTCAATCCAACAGAAATCGCCAGTTATCTATCCCTGAAAAATGCTAAAACCTAGGCAGAAAGGTTCCTGACTAACTCACCACGTTTAGATCAATCTGCAATCTAACCTGGGGCAAGACCACTCCTCCGTCATGATACTTGGAGTGCTCAAAAAATCATGGCACTTGGAACCCATATTTTATAATTCCTTTAAGAGTGACACTGTTTTAATTGAAAGTTGTTAAAACTTAATTTGTTATTAACGTGCTATGGTTAACTGAATTGGTCTTTCTCATTGGTGTAATTTGCCCTAATGTAAGACGATGAAGCATTTATCATCCCTGATCAACTGGAAATCTGTAAAGAAATAACATTTTTTTTAAGTAGAGAGGTTCACGTTTAGTTTATGTCCAGCATTTGTAATTTTGAGATGTCTTTGAATTTTTTCATTGGAATGTAGGGGGTTGAAGCGTGGTCTTTATAGAGATTTATAAAATCGTGAGGGGCATAGATAGGTTGATTAGTAAAAGTTTTTTTCCCCTAAGGTAAGGGGATTCAAAATTAGAGGGCATAATTTTAAAGTGAGAGGAGAAAGATTTAAAAGGGGCCTAAGGGCAACTTTTTCACACAGAGGGTGGTGCATATATGTAATGAATTTCTGGAGGAAGTGGTATGTTCAGGTACAGTTTCAATATTTAAAAGACATTTGGACAGGTACTTGAATAAGAGGTTTAGTGGGATATGGGCCAAACACAGGAAATGGGACAAGTTTAGGTTGGGGAACTTGATCGGCATGAATAATTGGACCGACGGGTCTGCTTCCATGCTGTATGATTCTGGCTCTGTCACTGAATGACAGTTTTAGCTTATAGGATTCTGGATGTATCTTGTCTCTTCCATTCCTAAAGCACTTTTCAAAATTGTAGTCAGAGTTATACAGCATGAAAACAGACCCTCCGGTCCAACTCATCCATGCAAACCAGATGTCATGACTAATGTAGTTGCTTTTGCCAACATTTGACCCATATCCCTCTAAACCCTTCTTATTCATATGCCCATCCAGATGCCTTTTTAAATGTTGTAATTGTACCAGACTCCTCCACTTCCTCTGACAGCTCATTGCATACACACGTCACACTCTGCGTATAAAATTTGCTGCTTAGGTTCGTTCTAAATCTTTCCTTCACCTTAAATCTATGTCCTTTAGTTTTAGACTCCCCTGCCCTTGGAAAAAGACCTTGGATATTCACCCTATCCTTGTCCCTCATGATTTTATAGATCTGTGTCACCCCTCAGCCTCAAACATCCCAGTCTGTTCAGCCTCTTCAGCTTAAACCCTCCAACACTGGCAACATCCTCGTAAATCTTTTCTAACCCTTTCAAGTTTAACATCTTTCCTATAGCAAGGAAACAAGAATTGAATGCAGTATTCTAAAAGTGGCCTAATCAATGTCCTGTACAGCCACAACATGACCTCCCAACTCCTATAATCAATGCAGTGACCAATAAAGACAAGCATACCAAATGCCTTCTTCACTACCCCGTCTACCTGGAACTCCACTTTCAAGGAACTGTGAACCTGCACCCCAAGATCTCTGTTCAGCCGCAGTCCCCAGGACCTACCATTAAGTGTATAGGTCCTGCTCTGATTTGCCTTACCAAAATGCAATGCCTTACATTTATCTAAATTAAACTCCTTCTGCCAATCCTTAACCCATCTGATCAAGGTCCAGTTGTACTCTGAGATAGCCTCCTTCACTATCCAGTACACCACCTATTTTGGTGTTATCTGCAAACCTATTAACTATTCCTCCTGTTTTCACATCCAAATATTTTATATAAATGACAAAAAGCAGTGGACCCAGCACAGATCCTTGCAGTACACCATTGGTCAGAGGCCTCTAGTCTGAAAAACAACACTCCACCACCATCCATCGTTTCCTGCCTTCAAGACAATTTTGCATCCAGATGGCTAGTTCTCACTGGATTCCATGTGATCTAACCTTGCTAACCAATCTACCATGTGGAATCTTGTCAAATGCCTTGCTGAAGACCATATAGACAATGTCCTCCACTATGCCTTCTTCAATCTTCTTTGTCACTTCTTCAAAAAACTCAATCAAGTCAGTGAGACACAATTTCCTACACACAAGGCTATGTTGACTATCCCTAATCAGCCCTTGCCTTTCCAAATACATGTAAACCCTGTCCCTCAGAAGCCCTTCCAACAACTCACAGCTGACGTCAGGCTCACCAGTCTGAGGTTCTCCAGCTTTTCCTTACCACCTTTCTTAAAAATGGCACCATATTATCCACTCTCCAGTCTTCCGGCACCTCACCAGTGGCTATCGCTGATACAAATATCTCACAAGGGGCCAGCAATCACTTACTTAGCTTCCCACAAAGATCTGGGATACACCTGATCAGGTCCTGGGGCTTTATCCACCTTTAGCATTTAACCTCCTCCTGTAATATGTATACTTTTCAAGATATCGTTATTTATTTCTCCAAGTTCTCTAGCTTCCATATCCTTCTCCACAGTAAATACTGACGCAAAATACTCGTTTAATATCTCCCCTGTCTCCTGCAGTTCCACTCATAGACAGCATTGTTGATGTTTAAGGGGCGCTACTCTCTCCCTGGTTACTGTTTTGCTCTTAATGTATTTGTAGAATCTCTTTGGATTCTCTTTAACCCAATTTGCCAAAGTTAACAAGATATATTAAAAATGTAAATTGCAACCTTTATTCCTTAATGATTAGTCACCTTATTATTCAATTATAGTGTAACTGAGGTACTTCTAATACAGTTGCTAGTTGGTTTGCTACTCAGTTTAGTTTGTGTTCTGATAAGTCTGATTGTCTTTGAAAGAAGCCATCTTGTGCTGTTAAGTGTATTAATGCAGAAAATAACTACTTTCCTGTGTTCGACTAGCAAAACACGTGTTTTTGTACAATGTCTCTAAAAATAGATTAATTAAACCTTTAATTAAAATCTAAAACCTAGAATACTTACAACCTGTTGCTCAACGTTTAAGACCTCCTCCTCTTCCAGGGTAATGTGATGTAAGCTGGACACCTTTCCAGGACCAAAAATGGCAGGACCAAAAATCCAGCACCATCAACTCCATCTCCTCCTCTGACTATTATCTGATGTTAAAGAAGATTTCTTACAATTTTTTGGCTCTTATTTGAGCTTCTGACCCTATATCTTATATATAGATGGGCTTTTGTGGTGCAGTAGTAGTGAACCAGGAGGCTTGGGTTCAAGTCCCACCTGCTGCAGAGGTGCGGAATAACATCTCTAAACATGGATAGAATACAGATAGTTTCTAATCAACCAACAAGACCCCAGCTTACTTCTACCTTTTTGACATTACTCATCTTCACTTGATGTCAATTAATCTGTTGAAACTCTCATTCATGCCTTTGGCTCCTCCAGGTTTGACTGTTTTGCTGCTCTCCTGACTGAACTCCTGCCTTGCACCTTTGATAGACTTCAGCTCATTAAAACACTACATGCCATATCTAAAATAGAACTAAATTCTAATTAACCATCACCCTGTGTTTGGTGACCTCCACTCCTCCTGACCTTGCAATGTCTTGAATCTCTCCATTTTAAAATTCTCACCATTGTGTTCAAAGCCCTCCGCACATTCGACTTGTGTAACAGTTGGGACTTGCCTCTCCCTATTTCTGCAACCTCCTCCTTACAAACTGTATATTTGTCAACTCACCTCCAATTCTGGCCACTTACACATTTTCATATTTCATCTCTGCTGTATTTGCAGCCCTTCCTTCAGCTGCCTGTTGGAAGCAGAGTCTTTAAATATTTTTAAGGCTGGGATGTGTGGATTATTCATAAACAAGGAGGTGAAAAATTATTGGGGGTAAGGGAAATGTGAGGTAATCACATCAGCTATGAGCATGTTGAATGGTAGTGCAGGCTTGAGGTATTGCATGGCTCCTGCTTCTAATTTGTCTGTTTTGTATGCCTCGGCCCAAAGCTCCATAAGCCAGTTTCTCCCACCTTAAGAAATTCATTTCAGACTACCTCTTTGACTGGATCTTTGGTCACCCATCTTATTATTTCCTTATAAAACTCACTGTTTTGTTGTCTGATAACACTCCAATTAAACACTTAAAAGAGCTTTATAAATTTTTTTTCTTTTTTTAGCTGAACTGTTCCAGACAAGTGGACAGTATTCCGTCATGTTCCTGATTTGAGCCTTGTAAGACAGTGAACGGCTTCCGAGCAGCTAGATGAATTAGAATGATATAATATTATAGCACAGAAAGGGGCCACTTAGCCCATTTTTTCTGTGCCAATCAAAAAAAAAACTACTAAGCCTAATTGCACTTTCCACAGACCTGCAGCTTATGGTAGTCGAGGTGCATGTCCAGACACCTTCTAAATGACTTGAGGTTTTCTGCCTTGACTATCCTCTCAAACAATGAGTTTCAGAACCCAACCACCCTCTGAGTTCAAACATTTTTGGTCATTTTCCATTTAATTTTTCTACCAACTATTGGAATTCCCAGCTTCTGACGTACCTTTATTACAAGAGTACTTGTGTGACTGGCAGTTTCTAGTTAGGTTTATGGTTGATGGTAACCCCAAGATGTCAGTGATGGTGGATTCAGTGCTGATAATGCCATTGAATGTCAAGGGGATATCATTAGATTCTGTCTTGTTGGAGATGGTCATTACCTGGCATTTTGTATAGTGTGAGTGAAATTTGCCACGTAACAAGCCTGAATGTTGCCCAGGTCTTGCTGCATATGAACAAGGACTGTTTCTGATGAGTTGTAAATGGTATCATCAGTGAACCAATCCTCCTCCTGACTTTGTGATGGAAAGAAGTTAATTGCTGAAGTAGCTGGAAATGGTTGAAGTAGAACACTACATTTTGAAACTCCTGTTGTGATGTCTATGGCGGAGATGATTGACATCCAACAATCTATCTTCCTTTGTGCGGAGAATTTTTCCCTTCATTCCCTTTGTTAAGGCTCCTTGATGACGTGCTTTGCCCTTCACATGGAGGCACCATTTGACCTCTGGAATTCAACTCTTCTTGTAAATATACAGACCAAGACTGAAATGAGGCCAGGAACAACTGGCCCTGGCAGAACTCAAACTGAGCATCAGTGATCATTTAATATTTTGTTAGTGCTGCATAGTGATACTGTCAACATCCCATCCATCACATAATGTACTATTGGCAGTGATGATCTTTCAATTACTTGAAACACAGAATTTTTAATATTACCAAATAAAAGAAGTTTTGAATACTGTCCCAAGAATGTGCTTTGATAGAATATATTTTATGTTTAAGGAGATGCTCAAACGTCTAACAGATATTGTTTGGCCAGAGACTGCCACTCTTCTGAAGCAGAAAATTGATGATGCCAGGACAGAAGGTAAGTGCCAAGGATCCAACATTGCACTGCCAATTGAACATTCTTTTGTATGAAAATGGCTGCAACCCAAGATCTGTCAAGTTGTTTAAATTTTAACTTGAACTCCTCACTCTTCGAGGTCTTTTGTGGTAGGAATTTATCTCTGGAAACCAAGCTGTAATTTAAGTATTTAGTGAGATCCAAATTCTGACTCTCTACTCCCCTGCAAAGGATGGCTAATTGACCATTCTTCCTGTAAACTTTTTTTTTCAGTTTTTCTGGATATTCACAGATGAGTTATCCAGGCACAGTTCTTGATGGTAGCTTTGCATTGGCATAGCCAAGGTGCACATATGATGCTGGATCAGACCCCAACTGAAACCTTGTGCCTGAAAATCTGGCAAGGTGTGACTGTGGTTCAGTGTCAAAAGTTGGTTGTGTTTTAAAAATGTCGATTCTGGCAATTACATTATCCTGCTTCATCACAACTGCTTAAGGCTCCCTTCTCAAACTAATCATAGAACTGCTGTCAGCTTTTGAAAAATCTATCTAATTAATTATTCAAGTATTAGCTACAATAAAATTGTTACCTTAATGTTACTGGTATTTATGTCAAATTGTTTGCTGGTCTGCAAGGGATGGATTGACGGTTAGTATTAAGATTTGGCATTTTTCGGTCTCAGCAGCAAGGAGCAGGTAAAAGGGAAATTTAAGATAGTTATAGGATATTACCATATAACTTAGAACCAGCAGTCAGAATGGATCCTACAGATCAACACAAAAACAGTTCCTTTCAAATAAACAAATTCTGGTGATCTTTCAATGAAGCATATTTTATGACCATTGTCTATAACTGAATAACTTCCCTTATTAAATGTTCATCTTTGGATAGCATCACTTTTGTTCCTCAACTGTTTTTGATAAGAATATAAATTCTTGTCACTAAATTGATTGCATGTGATTTGTTAAAACATTGTCTGTTGCTTCACTTTGTTTTTTTTTCATTCGTGGAACATGGGCGTCATTGACTGAACCAGAAATTATTGCCCAGCCCTAGTTGCCCTTGAGAATATGATGGTGTTTTGGCTTCTTGAACAGCTGCAGTCCATGGTACAATGGCATTAGGGAGCACATTACATGATTTTGACCCAATGAAACTGAAGGAATATTTGCAAGTCAAGACGGTGAATGGCTTGGAGGGGAACTTAGAGGAGTGGTGTTCCCGTGTATTTGTTGCCCTTACCCTTCCAGATGGTGGTGGTCATGGGTTTAGAAGGTGCTGTCTAATAAGCTTTGGTGAATTTCTGCAGTGCATCTTTTAGATGGTACACACTGCTGCTACTGAGCATTGGTGGTGCAAGAAGTCAGTGTTTGTGGATGTGGCCCAATGAAATGGGCTGCTTTTTGCTAGATGGTGTCAGGCTTCTTAAGTGTTGCTGGAGTTGCAGTCATCCAGGCAAATGGGGAGTATTCCATCACACTCCTGACTTGTGCCTTGTAGATGATAGACAGGCTTTGAGGAGTCGGAAGATGAGTTACTAGCTGCAGAGCTCCTAACTTCAGACCTGCTTTTGTAGCCACACTTCCATTGGCAGGTCCAGTTCAGTTTTTGATCAGTGGTGTCCCTAGGATATTGAAAGTGGGAGATCCAGTGATGGTAACATCATTGAATGTCAAGAGATAATAGTTAGATTGTCTCTTATTGGAGATGGCCATTGCCTGGCATTTTTGAGGCTCAACTGCTACTTATTACTTTTCAGCCCAAGCCTGGATAGTATCCTTAAAAAAAAAACCGACAGAACTGCAGATGCTGTAAATCAGGAACAAAAACAAAGTTGCTGGAAAAGCTCAGCAGGTCTGGCAGCATCTGTGAAGGAAATCTGAGGAAGGGTCACCAGACCCAAAACATTAACTTTGTTTTTTCCTTCACAGATACTGCCAGACCTGCTGAGCTTTTCCAGCAATTTTGTTTTTGTTCCTGGATATTATCCTGGTCTTTTTGCATTTTCATACGGAATGCTTCAGTATCTGAGAAGTACTGAATGATGCTGAACTTTGTGTAATAATCGGCAAATGTTCCCAGTTCTGATCTCATGATAGAGGGACGACCATTGATCAACCAGCTGATGGTGGTTTGGCCTAGGACACTATCCTCATGAACCTCTGCAGTATCCTCATGAACTCCTGCAGGATTTCACCAATGGGAATTGATTTAGGTTGATTTTGTACACCATCTAAGTCTGAATTTCTTTGTGTTTCTTTGTCTTTCTTGTCAGGTAAAGCTGTCTGTGTGGTGGATGCCGCAGTTTTGCTGGAAGCTGGATGGGTTGATATGGTTCATGAGGTTTGGCTGCTTCTTATGCCTGAGGAGATGGTGAGTTCTGTATAGTTGAGTACACCTGTTAGTGAATACAAAGCATTTCTACTGATAACTCAAATATTTAACATAACTTGGTATTCCTAGTGTTTTACACTGGATAAGATCAATAGCTTTATTAAGTGTACACAGCCTTGATTTGAAGGTCATTGTAATTTGTTATCAATGCAGTCTTCTTGAATTGTCTGATTTTTGCTGGTTTCTGTTTGTGCCAGATTTAGGGTGAAAGCTGAACTGTGAGCTGCTGATGCAGTATAAAATATTGCTCCATTTGAGATTTGATATTTTTGCAATTGTGTTCTGATAAATATAGGTTTAAGGTGAGAGGGGAAAGGTTTAAAAACGACCTGCGGGGTAACCTTTTCATGCAGAGGATGATGCATGCATGGAACATGCTGCCAGAGGAAATAGTGGTGGTGGGTACAATTAGAACATTTAAAAGATGTCTGGATGGGTATATGAATAGAAAGGAGTTAGAGGAAAATGAGCCAAATGCTGGCAAATAGGATAAAGTCATTTGGCGTAGATGAGTTGGACCGAAGGGTCTGTTTCTATGTTCAATGACTCTATAACTGCAAGAGAGGGAAATGCTTGACTTCTGGAAAGCAACGTCTCAGTTACAAAGTTCTGGAGACACTTAGGCGGTCTGGCAACATTCATGGAGATAGGAGCAGAGTTACCACTTCAAGTCCAAAACAATTTTTCTTTGGAACTCCACCAAGTTTCATCAGTTTTTTTTCATGAAGTAACAATCATGTGTTTTTTTTCAATCAGCCAGAAAGAAAACTAAGAATTATGTGATGTCATATTAATGGTATGGAGCATGATGTCTGTTGTTAGTATAATGTAACATTAGCAACATTGTTCCTTATAAACTGGAATTTAGAATAGTAGAAGCTATGAAAATGGCATGTGTTGAGACTTTAGAGGAGCTTCTCAGGTAGTGTTAGTTATGATTCTAGTTGTTGAGAAAAGCTGCAACATAACACTCTTTTGTTGTCTAAAGCTATGATTATGGTGGCCCTAAAAATGAAATCTTCTTTTTCCCATGTGCTAGGCGGTCAAAAGGATAATATCAAGAGACAAACTAAGTGAAAACGAGGTGAAAAAGCGGCTTGCAAGCCAGTGGTCAGATGCCCAACGGTTACAATATGCCAATGTTGTCCTGTGCACACTATGGGAGCCTGACGTCACAGAGAAACAGGTTGGATCCGTTAATATCTGACAGATTTCCAATTTATATCATTGTTTTAAGCACTTCTTTGTAAATACTGAACAGGAGCTGGCACAACAATTGTGACTCAGAATACGTGGAAGTCAGAAATATGAAGACAGCAGCTCCTCTCTGAGTGCACGTTGACACAAGATTGCTTTTAATTCATTCATAGGAGGTGAGAGTCACCGGCTATGCCAGCATTTTTGGCCCATCCCTAATAATTGCCCATAGGGAAGTTAAGAATCAACCACTTTGCTGTTGTCTGGAGTCACATGTAGGTCAGACAGGGTAAGAAAGGCAAATCTCCTTTCCCAAAGGGCATCAGTAAAGTAAAGGGTTTTTACAACAATCGACAACGGTTAGATGGTTGCCATTAAGCTAACTTTTAATTACAGTTTTTTGTCATTGAATTCAAATTTCACCATCCACTATGACTGGTTTCAAATCCGTGTCACCAGAACAATGTAACCTTCAGCTGTGGATTACTAATCCAGTGACGTTACAACTAAGCCTGTGCCTCCTGCTGGAGAAGGTGGTGGTGACCTACCTTCTTGAACTGTTGCAGCCTTGGGGTTTTAGGACCTTTACAGTAGTGATGAAAAAGAGTTCCTGGATTTTAACCCAGCTGCAGTGAAGGAATTATGATATACTTTCAAGCAGGATTGTGTGTATCTTGGAGGGGATCTTGCCAGTGCTGGTGTTCCAGTGTGACTGCTGCGCTTGTTGTCAGAGGAACCTTGATGAGTTACTGCAGTGAACTTTGTAAATGATACAAATTACTGCCACTGTGCAACACCGAGGAATGGAGTGGGTGGGTTTCCAATCAAGTGGGCTCCTGGATGGTGTTGAATTTTTTTTTGAGTTTTACTGGAGTTGCACTCATCCAGACAAGTAGAGGGTATTTCATCATACTCCTAACAAGATGTGGACAGGCTTTGGGGAGTTTGGAGGTGAATTACTTGGCACAGAATTCCTAGCTTCTGTCTTCCTGTTGCTCAGTATTTGTGTGATGCAAATGTTACTTGCTGCTCATCAGTCCAGGTGTAAATATTATCCAGATCTTGCTGTATATAGACACTGTTTGCTTCAGTGTGAGAAGTCACAAATAATGCTAAACGTGGTGCAATCTTAAACAAACATCTCACCTCTGACCTTACAATGGAGGGAAGATCATTGATGAAGCAGCTGAAGATAGTTGGGCCTAGGATACTACCCTGAGGAACTCCTGCAGAGATGTCCTGCAGCTGAGATGACTGACCTCCAACAACCACATCCATCATCTTTTGTGATGGGTATGACTTCAACTGGCAGTGAGTTTTCCCATGATTCCCATTCACTCCAGTTTTGCGAACGCTCCTAAAGCAATGGGGCTTCAACGCACCCTGCAGAGTTATTATTTGCTTTATACTGTCTCTCCTAGTTCTTCTTACCAAAATGCAATTTGATAGGCTTAAGAATAATGCTGTACATTCAACTATTGGGGAAGAGTAAAAGTCTCCAGTAAGATACAATCTAACCAAATCTTCTTGACATTCAGAAGTATTATATTACTGAATTTCTCATTATCAATATCTGGGGGTGTTACCGTTGACCCATACCTGAAGTGGACTTACTACATAAATACAGTGGTTACAAGGGCCTGGGAGCACTGCACTGCGTAAGTCACCTCCTGACTCCCCACATCCTGTCCACTACCTACAAGGCACAAGTCACAGGTGGGATACAATACTCCCCACTTAACCTAGGTGAGTGTGACTCCAACAACACCCAAGAAGCTTGACACCATACAAGACAAAGCAGAAACAAAATCAGAAATTGCTAGGAAAACTTAGCAGGTCTGGTGGCACCAATGGAAAGAAAGCAGAGTTAACTTTTCAGGTCTAGTGACTCTTCTTCTGAACCACAAGGCAGCAATTCCACAATCCACTTGGTTGGCACCACATCCACAAACACCAGCTCGAATACTCAGTAGCAACAGCGTGTACCATCTACAAGACTCGCTGCAGAAATTCACCAAAGAGCCTTAAATACCACCTTCTAAATCCACACACCCTACTATCTAGAAGAACAAGAGCGTCAGATATGTAGGGACACCACCACCTGCAGGTTCCACACCAAGCCACTCACCATTCTGACTTGGAAATATATCACTGTTCTTCTACTGTCACTGGGTCAAAATCCTGGAATTCCCTCCCTAACAGCATTGTTCATCTACCTACAGTATGTGGACTGCAGCAGTTTAAGAAGGCAGCTCACCACAACTTCTCAGGGCAGCAAGGGATGGGTAATAAATGCTGGTCAGCCAGTGACACCCATGTACCACAAGTGAATTTTTAAAAAAGTTTTTGTCTAATAGCATGTTTGTTTTCCAATTTTTTTTTTCAACTAAATGTGGTATAATCTCGACCTGCAAACAAGTAATACTGTGCAAATAGTAAAATAGTACCTATGGAGAGAGAAACAGTTAATGTTTCAGATCAAAAACAGAAGTTGCTGGAAAAGCTCAACAGGTCTGGCAGCATCAAAGAACAAAGAAAATTACAGCACAGGAACAGGCCCTTCAGCCCTCCAAGCCTGCGCCGATCCAGATCCTCTATCTAAACCTAATGCCTATTTTCCAAGGATCTTTATCCCTCTGCTCCCTGCCCATTCATGTATCTGTCTAGATACATCTTAAATGACGCTATCGTGCCCGCCTCTACCACCTCCGCTGGCATCGCGTTCCAGGTACCCACCACCCTCTGCGTAAAGAACTTTCCACGCATATCTCCCTTAAACTTTTCCCCTCTCACCTTGAAATCGTGACCCCTAGTAAATGAGTCCCCCACTCTGGGGGGGAAAAAGCTTCTTGCTATCCACCCTGTCTATACCTGTCATGATTTTGTAGACCTCAATCAGGTCCCCCCTCAACCTCCGTCTTTCTAATGTAAATAATCCTAATCTACTCAACCTCTCTTCATAGGTAGCGCCCTCCATACCAGGCAACATTCTGGTGAATCTCCTGTGCACCCTCTCCAAAGCATCCACATCCTTTTGGTAATGTGGCGACCAGAACTGTACGCAGTATTCCAAATGTGGTCGAACCAAAGTCCTGTACAACTGCAACATGACCTGCCAACTCTTGTACTCAATAGCCCATCTGATGAATGAAAGCATGCCGTATGCCTTCTTGACCACTCTATCGACCTGCGTTGTGACCTTCAGGGTACAATGGACCTGAACACCCAGATCTCTCTGTGCATCAATCTTCCCCAGGGCTTTTGCATTTACCACGTAGTTCGCTCTTGAATTGGATCTTCCAAAATGCATCACCTCGCATTTGCCTGGATTGAACTCCATCTGTCATTTCTCCGCCCAACTCCAATCTATCTATATTCTGCTGCATTCTCCGACAGTCCCCTTCACTATCTGCTACTCCACCAATCTTCGTGTCATCTGCAAACTTGCTAATCAGACCATCTATACCTTCCTCCAGATCATTTATGTATATCACAAACAACAGTGGTCCCAACACGGATCCCTGTGGAACACCACTGGTCACAGTTCTCCATTTTGAGAAACTCCCTTCCACTACAACTCTCTGTCTCCTGTTGCCCAGCCAGTTCTCTATCCATCCAGCTAGTACACCCTGGACCCCATGCAACTTCACTTTCTCCATCAGCCTACCATGGGGAACCTTCTCAAACGCCTTACTGAAGTCCATGAACTTGACATCTACAGCCCTTCCCTCATCTATCAACTTTGTCATTTCCTCAGAGAATTCTGTGAAGAAAAATCAGAGTTAACGTTTCAGATCCGGTAAACCTTCCTCAGAACGTTCTGATGAAGGGTCATTGGACCCAAAACGTTAACTCTGATTTTTCTTCACAGATGCTGCCAGACCTGCTGAGCTTTTCCAGAAACTTCTGTTTTTGTTCCTGATTTACAGCATCTGCAGTTCTTTCAGCTTTTCATGTTTCAGATCAATTGCTTTTTATCAGGACTAGGAAATGTCAAGAATATATCTGTTTTTCAGTCAGTACACAGGTGGAGAGGAAAAGAGTAAAAGATGGGTAGGGTGAGTATGATCTGAAATTGTTGAACTCTGTTGAATTAAAAATGTTATAAATAGATTAGACTCAGTTCTTTGAGGTTCCACTTGATTAGAATAGTGTTGGAGGGACAGAGAGATGGCAAGAGATGCAGAAATAAAACAGCAAAAAAGAACCAGAAGCACAGGCCACACTTGTGGATTGAATGGAGATGTTTCACAAGCCTGATACTTTTCTGTTTAGAGTAGCCTATGTGGTTAGTAGTAAATAGAGTATTTCAAATTGAAAAATGTACAGGTGTCTTTTACATGAAAGGAGTGTTTAGAATCCTGGACAGTGGAAAGGGAGAGGTTTAAAGGGCAAGTGTGGCATCCTCTGCACTTGCACAGGAAGGTATCATGGACAGGGAGAGAGTAATTGACAGTCAACTGGGGAGTAATTGGAGGAACAGTCCTTTTGGAATGCGAAAAGGAGAGAAAATATGTTTTGGTACCGGTCACACTGGAAATGGCAGGAGTTGATCAGCTGTAAGGTGAGACCGGTAGGGTGGAACCGAAGATCAAGGAAAATCCTGTTATGGTTTTTGAACGGAGGAGAAAGGTAAGAAATGCTGAAAATGATTTGGGTTATGTTCAAGGGCACTGTCAGTAGAGGGGGAGTCCTTGGTCTAGGATAAAGAAAAACCTATTGGGAAAAAGTGATGTAGAATGTGGTAACATCAGCACAGATGCAACAGAGATTGAGAAACTGTGTGAATGGATTAGACTCCATTCAAGAAGTATGGTGGGAGTAATTGTAATCAAAATAGCTGTGGGAGTCAGTGGATTGGCAGTGAATTTTGGTTGACAGCACCGTTCCCTTTAATTATTTTTTTTCTGCTGCACAGACTATGCGTTTTTTAGAATTTTATAAAATCATGAGGGGTATAGACAGAGTTAATGGTAGTTGTCTTTCCCCAGGATGGGGGATTTTAAGACTGGAGGCACGTTTTTAAAGTGAGAAGAGAGATATTAAAAAGACATGAGGGGCAAATTTTTTACGTGGAAGGTGGTTCGTGCGTGGAATGAATTTCCTGAGGAAGTGTTGGATGTGGGTACAGTTACAACGTTTAGAAGACACTTGGATAAGTACATGAATTGTTCATGTACAAAAAACTTTGGAGGGATGCGGGCCAGGAGCAGGCAGGTGGGGCTAATTTAGTTTGGGATTATGTTCAGCATGGACTGGTTGGACTGAAGGGTCTATTTCCATGCTGTATGACTCAGAGCTAAAACGCAGCATTGCAATTGACATGTGCAGATCTTCCTAGTAGCTGTGCAGCCTATAGGGAATGTTGGTTGACAGCCTATCCACTAAAATAGTGATAGAGAAATTGAAGTAGATAGAGAAGAAACAAAGACCGTTGGAACATAGATCTTACCATTTGTTTTCTGTTATATATTTTTAGGTACAAAAGGCATGGCAACTCCTTCAAAAGCGTAGACCTCTCTCAACATCTTAATGAATCCACGGATCTTTAGTCTTTTAGACTGACCCAGTACAAATATTTTTGTACTTATGTATGTTGTGCAACAATGTGTAAGTTGTAACAATGGCACTTCAGATAATTATCAACAAATCAATTTGGAGATACTTTGTAATTTCAAAATCTGTCTGTTTCCATTCTTATTATACAATGAATTGGCACATTAGTAAGCAATTTGACCTTTTGAGCTTGTTCACCATTCAATATGATCAATACACCATTCAATAAGTGACCTCCTGCAATTTTACTCACCCTTGATTACCTTGGTATCCAAAGATATATCCATCTCTTGTCTTTAATATGCTCACAACTGAATATCTACAATTCCACTGGAATACCGAACACTATAGGTGCACAATGCTTTGAGTGAATTTCTTATCACAGCACTAAATAGCTGACCCCAGTTGTGAACTCCACGGTAAGCTCAAACCTCTTACCAGCATCTACCCTATCAAGCCATAAGATCATAAGAAATAGGAACAGGAATTGGTCATTCAGCCCCTTGAGCCTGCTCCACCATCCAACATTCCCCACCTCCACTTTCCTGCATTTTCTCCATAATCCTTGATTCCTCTAGTGATCAAAAATCTATATCTCAGCCTTAAATATACTCAAAGGTTTTGTGCCCAGAGTTTTTGATAGGCAAGGAGTTTGAAAGGCGCTCAACCCTCAAGAAATTCCTCCTCATCTCAGTCTTAAATTGATTTCCCTGTGGTCTGGTCCTAGACTCTCCCATGAGGGGAGGCATTCTCAGCATTTACCCTGTCAAGCCCTTTAAGAATCCTATATGTTTTAATCAGGTCATTTTTTATTCTTCTATACTCTAGTGAGTAGAATCCCAATCTATTTAACCTATGCTCATAAGACAAAACCTCCATACTGAGGATCATCCTCATGAACCTTCTCTGAAATGCGTCCGTTGAAATTATATGTTTTCTTAAAAGTGGGAAGCAAAACTGGTCCTCATTTTGAGCAATGTTCCATTATCCTTGCTGATTAGCTGCTGTATCTGTGTATTAGCTTTCTGTGTTTCTCGCACCAAGTACTCCCAAGTGCCCTTGTATTGCAGCTCTCTATAATTTTTCTCCATTTAAAAAATAATTTGTTCTTTTGCTCTCCCATCCAAAATGAGCAACTACACATTTTCCAACATTTGCTTCAAACGCCCCTAGAAAAGTTTCTACATTTTAGTGTGATCTCCTCTCATTTGCTAAACTTTGGGATCATAGGTCTAGTCTCCTCAATCTCCTTGTAGGACAATCCCAGCAATCAGTCTGATGAACCTTTGTTGAACTCCTTTGAAGACAGATGTATCCTTTATATAAGATCAGGAGTCTATACAGTACTGCAGGTGTCATTTCATCAAGGTCCAATACAAGATTAATCTTGGTATTTTCGAATCAACCTGTTGAGAGATGTTAATTACACACCTTTGGGACTTGAACCTTAACCTGAATCTAAGTCGCCTCAAAGCTACTTGGCCACATACCAGTTCATCAGGTGCTGTGCACTTGATCATTAATGCTGCTTTCATGGCACAGGTCACTGCATAAGCTGCTCACCACTTCCATTCTGAACCCTTCTTGTCACTGTCTCTCTCGCCTTGTCATTAACTTTTTACGCAACGCTACTCTCCTGCTCAGCATCTCTTTCCCCATCCCTGCCCTTGCTACATATGCCTATCTGCTTTCTTACTACGCAATGCCTCTACCCCTAGTAGCCTCTCCCTTGCTACTTCTCTCCCACTTGGTGCCTTTTCCTTTGCTGTTTCCCACTCATCGCCTCTGACTCTTGTTTCTCCCCCATCTTCCATATTACCACTTCCTTCCCATCTGCTGTCTCTCTCTTTTACCACTTTCCTCCTGCTCAGTGCACCCCCCCACCACCAACCACCACCTCTCACTTGGTGCCTCTGTCCTTCACCACTTCCCTCTTGCTCACCATCTATTCCTCTCACCAATTCACTGCAGCTCAACACCTTTGTCTACTCCTTGCTTCTTTCATCAACCCTCGTGCCAAGGTGAGTGGATGATTCAGGGAGTGAGGAGAGGTGGCTAGTGGGCATATTCAGGCTGGCAGTGGTGAGAGGATAGAGGTGGCAGCAAGGACTGTTTGAGAAGAATTGTTGACGTGGGAGAAGAGGCAAGTAGGAGAGGTTGAGTGAGAAGTAGGACATTGAGAGGGAGTGAGCAGGAGGTAACTTATTAAAATTTGCTAAGTTTACATATAATGGTAATTTTAAGCATGAAGTTTAAAAATTATTCTATTTCTTGTGTTGATTAAAATAAAATAATTTTCCTATATCAAGAAGTTGATAATTTTGTTTTATGACTTAATAGATGCATTCAAGATTTTGAAAGGTTACTGAAAATTTACTGTCTTAATTTTCTTTTTATTTGATTTTGTACCAAATTAACATCTTAAACAGTGTGCCTTTTTTTTCCTCCACTTATGTGATATGGATGTTGCTGGCTGGGCCAGCATTTATTGCTTACCCCTGGTTGTCCTTCAGAAGATGGTAGTGCACTGTCTTCTCGAACCACTGCAGTCCAAGTGCTGCAGGTAGACCAGCATAGGGTGGGAATTACAGTACTTTGACCCAACGACAGTGAAGAAACAGCATTAAATTTCTAATTCAGGATGGTGAGGATTTTGGAGGGGAATTTGCAGGTGATAGTGTTCACTTGTATCTGCTGTCCTTGTCTTTCTAGATGGAAGTGGTCATGGGTTCAGAAGGTGCTGTCTCAGGATCTTTTGTCAAATTTCTGCAGTGCATCTTGTAGATAGTACACACTGCTGCTACTGACCATTGGTGATGGAGAGACTGAATATTTGGGGATGTAGTGGCAATCAAAAAAGCTGCTTTGTCTTAGTTAGTGTCAAGTTTCTTGATTGTTGTTGGAGCTGCGCTCATCCGGGCAAGTCAGGAGTATTCCATTGCATTCCTGACTTGTGCCTTGTAGATGGTGGACAGGCACTGGGGAGTCAGGGGATGAGTTACTTACCACAGTATTCCTAGACTCTGATCTGCTGTTGTAGCCACTGTATTTCTATAGTGAATCCAGTTCACTTTCTTGTCAATATTAATTATCTGATTTTCAATATTCTTTCTTCCATGTCTGTAGTAATTTTTTAAAAAATAAATGTTAAAATATATTTTACATATAGTTTTTGATTTTACTAACGCATGCGTCCTCACATTACTTTCTTGTTGGTGCACGTTGGTTTTTAAAAAAAAAACTTTTTCATATCTACTTAAAATATATACCCTTTTGCCGTAAACCTATCTATCCTAGTAATTGACATTTCTACCTGGGAGAAAGACTCCCAACTATCCATTCTATCCATGCCTCTCATAATTTTGTAAACTTCTACCAGGTCACCACCTCCTCAGATACTTTGACATTCAAGAGAAAAGAAACCAAGTTTGTCCAATCTCTCTTTGTAGCTAGTACCCTTCAAACCAGGCAGCATCCTGGTAATCTGTTTCTGTATGCTCTCCAAAGCCTCCACATCCTTCTGGTAGTGTGGTGCCCAGAACTGTATGTAATATTCCAGATGTGGTCCAACTAAAATTATATGCAGCTGCAACATGACTTGACAATGTTTATGTCTATCCCCTGACCCATGAAGGCAAGCATGCCATATGCCTTCTTGACCACCTTATCTACTTATGTTGCCACTTTCAGGGAAGTGTGGACCTGTATGCCTGATGCAATTGAGGCTTCTGCTATTTACTGTATGTTGCCCTCCTACGTTAGGTTTCCCAAAATCATCACCTCGCATTTGTCCAGATTAAATTTATCTGCCATTTCTCCGCCCAAGTCTGCAGCCTATCTGTGTCCTGAAACATCCTCGGGCAATCATCCTCACTATTCGCAACTCCCCCAACCTTTGTGTCATCAGCAAACTTACTAATCAGCCCTCTACATTCTCCTTCAAATTATTTATATATATTAACAACAGGGGTCCCAATGCTGATCCCTATGGAACACCACTTGTCCCAGATCTCCAATCTCAAAAGCATTCTTCCACGGCTACTGTCTGTCTTCTATGACTAAGCCAGCTCTATATCCATCTTGCCAGCTCACTGCAGGTCCCATTTGATTTCACCTTTTGTATCAGCCTCCCATGGGGGACCTTGTAAAAGGCCTTGCTGAAGTCCATGTAGATATTTGCAAACTTGCCCTCATCAATTATCTTTGTCACTTCGTCAAAAAATTCAGTCAAGTTTGTGAAACACTCTCCGCACAAAGCCATGCTGCCTATCGCTAATAAGTACATTTTTCCCAAATGTAAGTGAATCCTATCTCTAAGAATCATCTCCAATGATTTCCCTATCATTGACGTAAGGTCCACCGACCATTTCCTGGATTATCCCCGTTGCCCTTCTTAAACAAAGCAATAATGTTGGCTATTCTCCAGTCCACCGGGACATCTCCTTGACAAAGAGGATACAAAGGTTTCGTACAAGACCTAGTAATTTTCTCACCTGCCTCCCTCAGCATTCTGGGATAGATCCCATCAGGTCCTGGGGATTGTACACCGTAATACTTTTCAAAACAACCAACATTTTTTTTTTATATTGACATGCCTCGAGACTCATCATCCATCATGTTCCTTTCCTTTGTGAATACCAATGCAAAGTATTCAATAAGGACCTCCCACTTTTTCTGGCTCCATACATAAATTCCCTCCT